CCAAGAAAAAAAGAGAAGAGTAAAATAATCAGAGATTAAAAAAGGAGGCATTACATCTAATACCATAGAAACACAAAAGATCATAAGAAACTACTATGAACAATTAATTATATGCCAACAACATGAAAAATCTAGAAGAAATGGATAAGTTCCTAATCACAAAAACCTATCAAGGGTGGGGCAGGTTGGGAGGAGGGGTGAGAGTTAAACACTGCATATTGGGTATAATATATACCACTCAGGTGACAGGTACATGAAAATCTCAGAAATCATCACTAAACAAAGTATCCATGTAACCAAAAGCTGCCTGTAACCCAAAAACTATAGAAATACCATCAATTTATCAGACCTGGCAAGATTGTATTAAGAAGTAGAAAATATGAAACAACAAATAATGAGTAATGGGATTTGAAGCAGTAATAAACTCTTCCATTAAAAGAAAGTCCAGGACATGATGGCATCATTGCTGAATTCTATAAAATATTTTTAAAAGAACTAATATAATTTTTCACAAACTATTCCAAAAAATTGAAAAGGAGGGAACTCTTTCAAACTTATTATATGAAGACATAATTACACTGATTCCAAAACCAGAGAAAGATAATAGCAGCAATACAAGTACTTGAGGTCAATATCCCTCATGAACTTAAATGTAGAAATTGTCAACAAAATACTAGTAAACCAAGTTTAACAACATATTAAAAAATTTCAGCAGGATTCACATCAGGGATGCCATATTTCAACATATGTCAATCAATAAGCATGATACATGACATCAATAGAATCAGAAAAATTATATGATCATTTCAATAAATGAAGATGCATTTGACAAAATTTAACACCTCTTCATAATAAAAACTCTCAACCAATTAGGTATAGAAATAACATACTTCAACATAACAAAGGCCATGTATGACAAATCCACAGGCAGCATAATGCTGAATGAGGAATTGTTGAAAGCTTTTCCTTTAAGATCAGGAACAATATGAAGGTCCCCACTCTTACCAGACCTATTCAACATATTACTGGAGGTCCACAAAAGACTCTGAATAACTAAAGTGATTCTGAGCAAAAGGACAAATCTAGAGACATCACACTACTTGACTTAAAAACATACTACAAAGCTATAATAATCAAAACAGCATTGTACTGGCCAAAAAAATAGAAGAAAAAAAGATCAATGGAACAAAATAGAGATTCCAGAAATAAATTCATGCATTTATAACCAAATGAGTCAAAAAAGATGCCAAGAACACTAATTGAAGAAAGCTCAGTCTCTTCAATAAATGATGTTAGGAAAACTGAATATCCACATACAATAGAATAAAGCTAGACCTCTATTTCTCACCACATACAAAATTCCATTCAAAATAGACTAAAGAGTTAAATGTGAGATCTGAAACTATTAAAGTACTAGAATAAGACAAGAAGAAATGCTACATAACTTCAGTCTGGGCAAGGATTTATTAGGTGAGATCTCAAAAATACAGGCAACAAAAACAAAAATAGAGTGATTACATCAACTTAAAACATTTCTGCATGACAAAGGAATCAATCAAGAGACTAAGGAGAAAACCTACAGAATGGGAGAAAATATTTGCAAATTTTACATTTGACAAGAGATTAATATCAAGAATTTATAAGGAACTCAAACAATTCAATAGGAAAAACCTAATTTTAAAATGGGCAAAATACCTGAATAGACATTTCTCCAAGGAAGATATAGAAATGGCCAGTAGTTATATGAAAAAAATGCTCAATATCACTAACAACCAGGGAAATGCAAATAGAAGCCAAAATGAGATATCATCTCAACTCAGATAGAATGGAAAACAACAAAAAGGCAAAAAAAAAAAAAAAAAAAAAAAAAAAAAAAATGCTGGCAATACTGTGGAGAACGGGAAAGTTTTATACACTGTTGGTAATGTAAATTAGTACAGGGGTTATGAAAAACAGTATGGCAGTTCCTCAAAAATGTAAAAATAGATCTGTGATATGATCCAGCAATCCCACTACTGGGTATAGGGCCAAAGGAAATGAAATAAGTATGTTGAAGAGTCATTCTGCACTTCCATGTTTATTGCACTATTCATATTATCCAAGGCATGGAATCAACCTAAATGCCATCGACAGAGAAAAAGATAAAGAAAATGTGATGTATATATACGTAATGAACTCCATTCAGCCACAAAAAAAGATGAACTCCTGTCATTTACAACAAAATAGTTGAGCCTGGAGAACATTATGTCAAGGGAAATAAGCTAGGTATAGAAAGAAAAATACTGCATGATATCATTCATGTGAAGAATCTAAACAAATTGATCTCAAAGGCATTGGGAGTGGAATAGCAATTACCAAAGATGGGAAAAACAGCGGAAGTGGAAGACAGGGAGAGGTTTGTTAATGGGTAAAATGTTAAAGTTAGGTAGGAGGAATAAGTTGCTGGTAATTACTGTGTAGTAGGGTGACTATAGCTAAAAATAATGTATCTTTCGAAAAGCTAGAAGAGAGGATTTTGAATGTACTCACAATAAAGAAATAATAAATGTGTAAGGCGATCAATAGCTAATAACCATGATCTGATCATTACACAATGTATACATGCACTGAAACATCACATTGTATTCCATAAATATGTATGATTATATGTGTATGTGTGTTTATGTGAGTGAGTGTGTATGATCCCATCAAATTTGTTATATGACACCTACAAACCTAGCAAATGTGTGGTTTTCCTCAAGTTTCTGTTTGCGTGATTAATGTTTCTTTTCTCTAGTTTTCACACTGGGAAAACATTAATACATACATTAATTATGTATATTAATACTATTTTATATATGTATGTATATGTGTGTGTATATATATACACACTGGAAGTTACATATATATGTGTGTGTATATATGAAGTTACATTTATATGTGTGTGTATATATAGGAAATTACATATACATGTATTTGTGTATGTATATATATAACTTTCAGGCCATTTCCCAGATTCTAGTAATATTTATTTTGTGTGACTTTGCTACACTCAGGTATACCTTGTCTTATCACATGGCTTTCTGTCTATCATGGAATACTAGCATCATGTGGAATTTTTTAAAGATGTCCAAGCTATATCACAAATGCTTGAATTCAGAATCTCTAAAGTAGGTCTATAATTACATTTGTTGAAAATATATTTTTCCAAATCCTCTCCAGCACCTGTTGTTTCCTGACTTTTTAATGATTGCCATTCTAACTGGTGTGAGATGGTATCTCACTGTGGTTTTGACATTTCTCTGATGGCCAGTGATGACGAGCATTTGGAGAGGATGTGGAGAAACAGGAACACTTTTACACTGTTGGCGGGATTGTAAACTAGTTCAACCATTGTGGAAAACAGTATGGCGATTCCTCAAGGATCTAGAACTAGAAATACCATATGACCCAGCCATCGCATTACTGGGTATATACCCAAAGGATTATAAATCATGCTGCTATAAAGACACATGCACACGTATGTTTACTGCAGCACTATTCACAATAGCGAAGACTTGGAATCAACCCAAATGTCCATCAGGGACAGACTGGATTAAGAAAATGTGGCACATACACACCATGGAATACTATGCAGCCATAAAAAAGGATGAGTTCGTGTCCTTTGTAGGGACATGGATGCAGCTGGAAACCATCATTCTCAGCAAACTTTTGCAAGAACAGAAAACCAAACACCACATGTTCTCACTCATAGGTGGGAACTGAACAATGAGATCACTTGGACATGGGAAGGGGAACATCACACACTGGGGCTTATTATGGGGAGGGGGGAGGGGGGAAGGATGGCATTGGGAGTTATAACTGATGTAAATGATGAGTTGATGGGTGCTGACGAGTTGACGGGTGCAGCACACCAACATGGCACATGTATACATATGTAACAAACCTGCACGTTGTGCACATGTACCCTAGAACTTAAAGTATAATAAAAAAAAGAAAATATATTTTTACACTTGACTCTGATACCAAAAAAAAAATCTTTAAAACAATTAATAAGAAACTACAACCTCTAGCATTCATTACAGTAGAGTTGTTGCTACTAGAAAATGCAATATTTAAATGTTTGATCTTATTTTCCCTCTGTCTTGCCTGGCTTGTAGAGATGTGGAAGATATCTTTTTGTGCATGATGAACCAACAAACATGTATGCAAGAGAGTGACACGGATTTTATTTCTCTCAGAGAACAGACAGATGCAATGAAGACACATCTTATCAATGGGTTTTGTTTCTCAAGTCAAAGTCAGCTTTTCTTAAACCATTTCCATAGGCCTAGTAGAAACTTAACACATGCTGTAATATGTTGCCTGACAATTATACCTTGCAAATATTTGAATATTTCTATTTTTTTCAGTAGTATCTTAATGGGACGTTGGAAGAAAATACATCAAGGTGGCTAGCAAACACAATTTCAAATTATAAATTAATAAGATTTATAATTTCTGAGTAATGTACAATTTAACATGAAAAACAGATACCACTGTAGCATAAAACCTGGCTAGATTTTAGGCCTAAGTAAAATGTCTAAACGGTTTTATTTTGTTTTAAAAAAGGCATCAGGCGTTTCTCCTTATTTAGGCTATTAATCTATCTCTGCCTTTTTACTTCCACTGTATTCTAGTCATTGGTTTTATTAAGAGTTACAACTACCTGAGCAAGTACTTTTTCTTCTATTACATATTAACTATTCCTCTCACTTTAAATTTTTATGAATCATGTATTCTAAACTACAAATGCATAGCTATGTCCTAACCATGGGTACCATTTTTTATAGTTTGTTTCATTATAAATTCGTAGGCTTATTCATTGTTGCATCATAAGTGAAGAATGTAGGAATTCTCAGTGAAAAGACTCAGAACACCACAAAAGGAACATTTTACTGAATCAATGCATTAGTTGGAAACAGCAGCAAAATGGAAACAGCAGCAAAATGGCTTGTTTTTTCTCCCCTTAATTACACGCTTTACTCTTCTTCAGTAGATGGTGCAAACTGTTCACTGTTGTTTAAGAATTCTAAGTTTGCTTCATCCATTACTTGTCTTTCATTTTCTGATACTTTGGTATCCTTTCCACGGAATTTTTTCTTTACAATAAAAATAAATACAGTAAGTAAAACAAGTACTGGGAACACTAGGGCTACCTTCAAGCCGAAGAAGGCTCTTCTGTGAAAAGAGAATAAGGAAAATAGATTATTAAATTGTGAAAAATAGCTTACATTTTTTTCTCCCCAGTATGCAGACCTTAAAAGAAAAAACAAACAAACAGAAGTTATAGACACAAATATTAAGAAAGCAATTCTGTTTATTCTTTTCATTGGGACATAAAATTCTTTCCTATTGTTATTTTTTTTTTTTAATATGAAGCTACAGAAACTAAACTCCGGCTGTCTCTAGCCTTCCTCTGGGAGGGAGAAACATATACAGCTCCAACCCCCTCAAACCATCTCATTCTACCTAAGGGCGGGAGAGAGAAACTGAAAAGCAAGTTTGAAGTTCACAATTCAGAGTTACAGTCTCAGATTGAGACCTTATCATAGAACTGTAGAATGCTACTTTTTCTCCAGCACCTTACACCACATTAATAAACACTTACATACAGCCATTCCTTTTACCCAGTACATTTTGTCTGGCTGTCAAGAAAAAATTGCAAATCTCATACTAAAAGGCAATAAACACAGTCTGAAAAGAATAAGATTGAAAGCCAGATCCAGATATATAAGGGATGTTGGAATTATCAAAATGGAAATTTAAAACAACTGTTATTAATTTGCTAAGGGCTCTAATGAGTAATGTAGACAGCATGCAAGAATAGATGGGCAATGTAAACAAGGAGATAAAAATTCGAAGAACCAAAAAGAATCACTAAAGATTAAAAAATACTACAACAGATATGACAAATACCTTAATTTTTTTTATTATTAGATAGAGCACAGCTGAGGAAACTATCTTTAAGTACATCCCAATACAAACCTCCAAAATTAAAAGCAAAGAAAAGTAAGACTAGAGGAAAAAAAACAAAACAAAACAGGATAGCCAAGAACTTTGTGATAACTACGCGTGTATAATGGAAATACTTGAAGGGGAGAAAGAAAGGAACAAAAGAAATATTTGAACTAATAAGCACTGAAAGTTTTTCTTGAATGAATGTCAGACACTAAACTACAGACCCAGGAAGCTCAGAAAACACTAAGAAGGAAAATTGCCAGAAAAACTATGCATAGATTTGTTATTTTCAGACTGCAGAAAATCAAAGATGAAGAAAACATCCTGTAGGAAGCCAGAAAAAAAAAAAAAAAAAAAAAAAAACCTTATGTATAGAGGAGTAAAAGATTACAACAGACTTCTCTTCAGAAACCATGCACTCCAGAAGAGAGTGGACTGAAATATTTAAAGTGTTAAGAGAAAAACACCTCCAACTTAAAATTCTGTACCCTGTGCAATTATCTCTCAAAAGTTAAGTTGAAATAAAAACATTGTCGCACAATAAAAAACTGAGGGACTGTTTTGCCAGTACACTTGTCTTTCAAGAAATGTTAAAAGAAGTTTGTTAGAGAGAAGGAAAAGGATATAGGTCAGAAACTTGGATATAAAGAAGGGAGAACATCAGAGAAGAAATCAGTTAAGGTAAAACAAAAACAGTTTTATTCTAAATTGATTTAATAGAAAACAGTTTGTTCCAAACAATAATGGCACAATGTGTTTAATAGTATTTAATTTGCATGTTTATTCATATGTTTATGTATGATTACACATAAGTGGAGTAAATGACAGCAATGACACAATGGATAGGAAGGAAGAATGAGGGTTATTCTGGTATTATTAGGTACTCTTACTGTCTGTGAAGTTATAAAGTGTTATTTAAATGTAAACTTGGATTGGTTCTAAATGTCTATTGCAAACTCTAGGAAAACCACTAAATATTTTAATTAAAACAGTACAACTAATAAACTAATAAATAAGATAAAATGAAATTATATAAAATGCTCAATTAAAACAACAGGAAGACAAAAAGTAGAAGACAAACATAGGATCAAAGAACAAGGGCAGCAAATAGAAAATAGTAACAAATATGGTAATATTAATTCAATTACACTAGTAATCACTTTTAATGTCAATGATCAAAATGCATCAATTAAAAGATCAAAATTAGCTGGGCATGGGGCTGATGTCTGTCATCCCAGCACTTTGGGAGGCCAAGAAAGGAAGAATGTATGAGTCCAGGAATTCGAGACCAAACTGGGCAACAAAGTCAGACCCCATCTCTACAAAAATTCAAGTATTAGCCAGGCATGGTGGTGTACACCTGTGATCCCAGCTACGTGGGAGGCTGAGGCAGGAGGATCCCTTGAGCCCAGCAGGTTGAGGCTACAGTGAGCCATGTTCAAGCCACTGCTCTCCAGCCTGGGTGGCAGAGTGAGACCCTGTCTCAGAAAATATTAATAATAAGATTGTTGGTGGATTAAAACATTGGCACCCCTGAATATGAAACATGAGGTAAAAATTTAATAAAAGATTTAATAAAATATTTTTAAAAATGTTTTTAATTTCAAATTCCACTTGTTCATTGCTGATTTAAAAATAATTAGACTGAGGAATTAATGCTAATATTAATCAAAAGAAAGTGGGGGTTACTGTATTTAAAACAGAGCAGTCTTCAAAGCAAGAAAATTGATCAAGGATTAAAAAAAAACGCCTTACGTAATAACGAAGGGATCAGTTCTCTTACTGTCCCTTGAAAAACATAACAATTCTTAATACGTAAGCTTTTAAGAATGGAGTATCAAAATATGTTAGGAAAAAATAATAGAACTTCAAAAAGAAATGAAGTCCTCAACATGGTCAAGAGGTTCCTGAAAACTAGTAAATTTAAGTGAAATTTTATATTGTATAATGAAACCAATTTTACCACAGATAATTGGTGTAAACAAGAGTTAAGTTCCTATGGCATACAGTATATTGTTTTGCTTAATGTCGGTTTCTAAGAACCTATTGACAATAAGTGGAGAATTAATGTAAATGAATCCATAATTGTGTTAGGAGACTTCAAAATGCCTCTATCAGAAATGGGCAGATCTAGCAGGCAAAAATCAGTAAGGACATAGTTTAACTCAATGACACTATCAATCAACAGCATATAATGAACACTTGTAGACTACTCCATCAAACAGCAACAGACTACAAAGTCTTCCCAAGCTCACATGGATTATTCATTGAGATAGACCACATTCTGAGATACGAAACATTTCTTAAAAAATTTAAAAGAATGGAAATCATGCAACGTATTTCCTCAGACCACAATGGAATTAAACTAGAGTTCAATAACAGAAAGATAACTGGAAAATCTTAATATATGTGAAGATCAAACAATACACTTCTAAGAAACATATGAATCAAGGTGAAATCTCATGAGAAATGTAAACATATTTGAAATAAGAGAAAATAAAATTATAGTATCAAAAGTTATGGGATGCCACAAAAGCAGGGTTAGAGAAAAATTTGTAGCATTAATGCATATATTTAAAATGAAGGAATATCTGAAATCTATGGCTTAATCTTTTACCTTAACAAAGTAGAAAAAGAAGAGTAAATTAAATTCAAAGTAAGCAGAAGGAAAGAAATAATGAAAAGTAGAGCACATATCAATGAAATTTAAAACAGAACATGAACAGAGAAAATCAACAGAAACAAAAGCTATTCCACTGAAAAAAAATAGTAAAATTGATGAGCCCCTTGCCAGGCTAATGGAGATAGAAAGAAATACACAATTTATAAATATCAGAATTGAAAGATGGAACATCACTGCAGATCCCATAGACCTTAAAAGGATTAAAAAAAAGAATGTCATGAACAGCACTATGGCCCCAATTTTATTAACCTCAACGAAATGGACCAATTCCTTGATAGATACGATCTACCTAAATTCACACAAGAAGAAATAGACCATCTGAATAGGCCTATATCTGCTAAACAAATGAATCAATAATTCATAACCTTCTAAAACGGAAATCACCAAACCAAGGTGGGCTCATGGATGAGTTCTATCAAACACTCACATAAGAATTTATACCAATTCATTATAATCTCCTTCATAGGATAGAAGCAGCAGGAATAGTTCCTGTCTCATCCCATGAGGTCAGCATTATCCTACTACACAAAGCAGACAAACATATTACAAGAAAAGAAAACTACAGAGCAATAAATCTCACAAATATAGATGCAAAGATTCTCAAAAATAGCTAATTGAATCCAAAATTATATAAAAAATTATATGCAACAACGAAGTGGAATGTATCTCAGGTTTACAAGACTGGTTCAACATTCAAAAATGAATTATATAATTCGTTATATTAACAGGCTAAAGATGAAAAAAAATCACACGATCACATCAGAAAATGCAGAAATGCATTTGAGAAAACCAAACACACATTCGTGACTAAAACTCTCATTAAACCAGGAATAGAGAACTTTATCAATCTGATTTTAAAAAATCTGCCAAAATCCTACACTTATCATACTTCACGTCAAAGAACCCAAAGATTTCCTGCCAAGGTCTGGAATGAGGAAAGGATGTCATCTCCCATGACTGATTTTCAACATGGTACCGGAAATCCTAGTTAATGTGATTTAAAAAAAAATGAAAAGGGAATGAAATGTCTACAGGTTGAAAGGAAATATATACAAGTTGAAATGTATACTAGTACCAGAAATCCTAGCTAATGTGATAAAAAAAAAAAAAAGAAAAAGAAAAGGGAATGAAATGTATACAAGCTGAAGGGAAGAAACAAAATTGCCTTTTTTTTTTTTTTTTAACATATGTGTATGTAGAAAGTCTCAAATAATAGACAAAAATACCCTGGAACTAATAAACTATTATAGTAAGATTGCAGGATACAAGATGAATATAACAAAATGAAAAGTTTTCTTATGTATTATCAATGAACAAGTGGAATTTGAAATTAAAAACGCATTACTATTTACATTGGTACCCCTGAATATGAAACATGAGGTAAAAATTTAATAAAATATATACAAAAGCTGCATGCAGAACACTATAAAATTCTGATTAAATAAATCAGAGAAGAACTAAAAAAATGAAATGATATTCCATGTTCATGTACAGTATAGAAAGACTCAATATTGTCAAGATGTCAGTTCATCCCAGT